TTGTTTGAACGCGATAATGTCAGGAACTACTGGTCCGATTTGAAAAATTCTTTCAGTGTTAGATAGCCCATTTATCGAGGAAGGCTATAGGCTATATATCATCACGCTAAGACCAATAGGAGCGGAGCACCAATGAAGAATGTTTCAAAAACGGAGAAAATTTATTACTATTGAGAGACGCAGACGAAGTTGCGCCGGTCAGCTAGTAGAAAATAATTTTTTACCTAATTAGTTACCTAAATAGTTTTTTTTTCAAACTGTTTAGATAACTAATTTGGAAAAATAAACCCGTAGTATTAGGGGTTAAAGTATGAAATTTTGAAACTCGTTTTTTCTAAGATGTAACATATTTATTTAATGAAAATGTTCACCCTCATTATCCATAAAGCATTTTGTACTGCCTCCTGAGAAAAACATTTTTTTTCACGTAGATAATTGTCCAAATCACGAAAAAAATGATTGGAGCAAGGTCTGGCGAGTACGAAAGATGACGTATGGTTTCTAACTGCAGCTCCTGTAGAGTTACAACGGTTTCTCGTGCAGTTTGAGGTCTTGCGTTATCATGGAGCAATAATGGTGAAGATCGATTCGTCGGGGCCTGACGAGACCTGAAAAAGCTATAGTGAATAACACCATGAAGATGATGATGAGAACCCGGATGTTCCCTTCCTGCCCGCAGAAGGAGACGGCGAAGTTTCACGCACTCTCGCTCCGTACCATGGCGGCAATCATGTTACCGAGCGAAAGAATTAACACTCTGACGGCCGCCACGAGGCTATGCCTTTGCTTCACCCACGCCATACATACTGCCAGCATGTGGAGCGCTGGGTCCACGGTCCGGCCATCGCACTGGTGGCACTCAGGCGTTGGCTCTTAACAGATCAGATACAGGATATCTCCGAAGCATCCTTTCCCTGTGATCACCTGCGTCAGCCGGTATGGGAGGGTTCTGTGATGCCTCCCGAGCCAATCCTCCATAACGGGTCGAACCGCCCCGAAAACGGCGTGCCCGGCGCTCGGATGTCCAAGTCATTCCTTCCACTCCACCACGAGGACCTGGATCTGGAATTTCTAATCCTCGATTTCTCCTTACGCCACTGATACAGAGCCGCAAGCGCTCTCGCCACCAGGTCCCCCAGGTCCCTTAGCTCATCCATTAGAAATTTAAAAAGCAGTGGTAAAACATCCCTTTGGCACACATGATTGTCTTCTCCCCTCGTCAATTTTTTTTCATTTGTCCAATAAGCGACGCCAAATTATCTTCATAGGTCTAAAAACTGCCATGTCTAAGGGTAAAGTGCATCGAATTTGCGGGCAAAAACATAAAGTGAATATCCTTTTCCTGGCACAATTTTATTACATCTATAGATAAATGTGAGGACAAATTGTTTCCCATCAGAATTATCCTACCCTCTTTATTTTCCAAAAAAGGTATGGCTATTGCTTTAACTCAAAAATTTCGTCATCAAACCAGCCACATGAAGACCTATTATACCTTGCATCATGCGGCCGTCTCATCGTCCATGAATCATACGAATGAGCTGCCTTGTAAACGACACAAGGCGGCAGGATATCACTATCTGCTGTAGCTGACATGATCAAAGATATTGAACCTTTTGAGTGATTTACTACGCGTTCTGGGTACTTGCATCCTCGTCTTACTATCACTTACTTGCGACCAGGATCATCGGCCAGATTCGTTTCGTCATAGTTAATTATATTTTGGGTTGGGACATTCTCTAAAGACTTTGACAATTCGCCAAAATACTCTTTTATTGTGTCTGAAGACACTGCCACTCTATATCTCGTAATGTTCTGGCATATCCTTTGAGACTACTACTACATTTAAATCGTAAGTACATACTTAGTAGTTGACACTAAATTGTGAAAATTTAAGATACTAAGATGAAGAAAAGTAAGATATTAATGCGCGAGAACTCCGTTAAGAATATGAGTGTCTTCCTACTTCTGTTTTTTTCTATTCTAAAATTATATAGGTTATCATGTTTTTATCGTTTTCATATTTTATATCGTTTGTTTTATGATAATTGTTCTAACACATTATGGTGTTGACTGATATTATTCTATATTTTTAGGGTTGCGTTGCTCTGAAGAAAAAAAACTCTTTGATCCATTTGTTGCCCGTACGTTTGTCTGTATATCCGTCAAAAAACTATCCCAGTAACTCATGGACGGGTTTAAGTTAAAATTAAAATCAATATATGTATGCAGTTCCTTTTAAAAATTAAGACTTAACGCAAACAATATATATGACCACTAGCTATTACCCGCGGCTCCGCCTGCGTAAATGTCGGTTATTGTGGTAAAAGTAAGTAAGTTTTACTAATCCTATTTGAAGTTTTTTATTTTTTATTTATAGTCCACTGCTAGACGTAGGCCTATCCTTAGGAAGGAGGTTTTGGCCTACCACGGACGCTATACTGCCCGTTAATATAATTATCTGCATCTTTGAAGGACGCCATTAACTAATTCAAAGTTTGAAACTCTACATACACGTAATTTCATTAAATCGTAAAATTATCAATACCAGTAACTGGACAATTTTATTTCGTCGATTAAAGCCTCGTCAATATATTTTTCTGCACTAATGAGACTCATTTAAGTTCGCCCTATGCCGGAAGGGTAGCTGATGCGTTTGGCATAGCTGGCATATGGCTGTGTGAAAATACACAATGGCAACAACAGTCCACCACTTTGGCTCTCGCGCGCGATTAAAATATTGACACAAGCGAACAACAACCTCGCGACTTTTGACATTATTTTGTATGTCAAACTTCATACTTATATAATTTTCTTTACAATGTGTAAATGAGACTTAAAAATGCGTATTTGTGTACCTATAAGTTTAGGTGTATAAATTCAGATACTTAAATAAAGTTATCAACTGTTACAGAACATTATTTTATATTCGTATAAGAATAAGATTTCATGGGAAAGAAAAACCAAAACCATAACAATTAGTTATTGATTATTATATCAAAACAATCAAATGATAGATTTAACTAAACGACTCATCTCATCCCTTGATTTTTGTACCATTGACATACTAGTAACCTGTAGGCGCGTAATCGTAAATTTATCAATAATTTTAATGTGTACAAAAATATGTTTTATGTGTCTATTTAACAAAAAAAAACAGGTAATATTTATTAATAAAATATATTTAGCCTCTCTTAGTGTATTATTGACTGCAAAAAATCGATATTTCCGGTGTTGTGAAACGAGTGTCAGTAAGACGTCGGAATTTATGTCGTCGGATTTGCTTCTAGTTGTCAGCGGTATCAAGCTATATTTTACGAACTATACTCGTAGATATGGAAGCATCAGATGGCACTCTTAATCGCACTTGTTTGCTTCCGTTATTTTGATGTTTCAGTTTATTTAATATTCATTAAGCAATTCTTGACAATTTAGAAAAAAAAAACAAAATATTACAGAATTATTCCGAATATAAAACTAGTACAATGAAATACCCGTCCATACACTGCTAAAAGAAAGTAGACATTATCGTATTGAAGTCCGTTGAAAAGTGGATGTTTTATTACAATCATTGTAGTTTTTATCAAGTTGTTTTAATAATAAAAAACTGACCAGGTCCGTGTCAAGCCAAGCGTAATGTTGGATTACGTATTAACATAATAGTATTGTATGAAAAATCCCGTTTTAAAGAAAATCAGCTTCATCAAAGCTTTTTTTTCTAATTTTGTATTTTCAAAATTTTCCTATTTTAGATTTTTTACGTTTTAAATAAAATGTTTACGTTTTAAACCCCAAATAAATCGTTTTAAACGGTTGAAAATGGCCTACAAAAATAAAAGTTTTAAACATCATTGTGGCCAATTTTTAGTCATCTGACGTCATGTTTCGTTTTAATTAGTTTATAGAAAATCAATAGAAAGTAGGTACCTACCATTACCACATTACCTACTACATGAAAACTTAAGTATGTAGGTATACCTACCTACATTTATTTATTATATGATTTTACACACACTAGATTAGAAGACATCATTAACACAATGCCGTCCGTTTTACTTGCGTATGAGACAATGTTCTGTCTTCAAGGCCATCACGCCGGTGCAGACGGTGTCAACGAGAGTCTGAGTTTGTTTTTAAACCGAATCAAATTGATTATTTATAGCGTTTGAAAACAATGAAAAAATTACACCAACACTCCTACACAGAGTTTTTAACTTATCAACAGAGTTTTTATAACTTAGGTAGGTAATACCTACGCTTGGTCGGACGGACCAACTAAAACTAAACCCGCCAAGTGTATCAATATCAGTATATCACGCATATAAAAAATCTTTACAGAGTTTTAGGTACTCCGTGATATCCCTACCTCGGTAGAATCAAGAAAATGTAGTTATAATTAAGAAATAAGTAGTCATCAAAATCGTTTTAAATCGAAATAAATGCTTTATTTCGATTTTAAACGGTTTTTTTCGTTAAACGGATTGGTTTCATTGGTTTAAACCGGCCTTACATCTATAACTGTGATACCTACATGGTTTTCTTTCTACATACATTTTAACTAACAATCGCGTTTTTTTTAGATTTTTAAGGCAAGTAAAGGTCATAGTTTATTTTTTACAAACAACTAGAAAAATAGTCATTAATAGCCTCTGTGCTAAAAGGCTATCCAATGGACCACACTACACTATGGAACAGAGGGAAAAATCATCTACACTTTACGTGTAGGAGAGGCACCCTATTTTTTTTAGCACACTATAAGACATAGCAAATCTTTCAGGGTTAATTGTTTTAATAATGGTAACTTCTTTATGTCCATCTCTTCATTCAATATGTTATGACTACGGAACCCTAAAAACGTAGGTGTTTTACGTAACATTATACTTTTATCTGTTCATTAATTATACACAAATGATCTTACGACCTTGAATGGTGTAGCTACCTACTCAGAGCAATGGTCAGACAGTTTTGTGAAACAGAACGAACACAACGTGTTAATCAAAATGGATACCAACAAAGTTACCAAGACAATAATTACGTCTCCTGCCATATACAAGCCTGTTGGGCCTTACAGGTTTGAAATTTGTATATTAAATGTGCGTTTCGTTGTTTATCTTTACTGTATAATAAATGATAAGTGCATATATATAATAAATGTACATATAAGATCAGTAAACTGAACCTTGCACGTTTGCTAATACAGGTTTGATAAGCAGTGTTATAACAGTTATGTTTAGAAAATGTTGTAGTTCCAATTAAAAATACCGATCGATTTCATTCAAAGAGAAGTTCCGTTCAATTGACTGCACGGATTGCGTAGTGGTTTAAGCGGTCATCTCACCGCTTTCTACTACTCTAAGTTCAATTTCCTTAATGACACACATGAAAATTATCTGAGGTCATCAGCTCAAGAAATGGTTCAAGAATTTTATGTATCCTGATTAAGTCAGTTACGTATTAAGGCATGATAAGAATGGTCCTTTTTTTCTTTTATGTGATATACTTAATTAGTAGTGTATATTCAGTACCCTCTTTACCGTAAGGTACGTACGTACGCTTAGGGCCTTCTATCGACTTGGGAAATTCCTTCCTCCCGAGACAAAAGCAATTCATCACAACTATAAAGTTTTTTTTTTATTTTGGCATTAAGTCCGCCATTGTACAAGTGAGTTGCAATTTGTGCATAAAAAATAAAAATAAATAAATACAAATGATAAATAATTTTAAAGTAAAATTACGAGAAAGTTAAATTAGTTAAAATTGCTGAAATCGCCTAGTTCACAATCATCATCATCATCAGCCTATCGCAGTCCATTGCTGGACATAGGCTTCCCCCATTGCCCGCCACTTCGATCGATTTTCTGCTTCTCGCCATTTCTATAGCACGGTGAGATTATGAACCAGCCGTACCGTAGGTGTTAACGTTTCGGCTCCGAATGTCGGCGCACTTATTAAAAACTTTCGTCTTTAGACACTGACACTGGATCGACGATAAGAAGACTCAACGTAGCCTCCCAAACGCTGCCCAATCCAACAAACGAATTTTTTGTTCACCTCGTCGTCGAAATTGCTTTTACCTAACTGCAATGTTTGCCCGAGGATATTTTTGAACAACTTCGAGAACGGCACCGTGTACCGCAATCGATTCCGGTAGTACATGTTCATTGAACAGGACCTTGGTTTTATCGAAGTTCATCCATAGTCCAATGCGTATAGAAGAGTCAGCCAGGTCATTCAGCATCTGTTGTAGGTCCTGCAGCGTATCTGCTATAATGATGATGTCATCGCAAGTGGGAGATATATTCGCCATTGATAGTGATGCCACGCCCTTTCCAGTGCAGCTTCTTGAAAATGTCCTAAATTGCATTTGTGAACAATTTCGGGGAACTGACGTCCCCTTGTCTCACAACTCGATGAAATGGTATAGGCCTTGCTTGCTGATTCTGTACTTGGACGGACATTGTGGCAGCTTCGTAGAGACATGTCATCACTTGGATGTATCGCAAATCTACTTGACTCCAGAACAGACCAGATTTCGATCGAGTCAAAGGCCTTCTCATAGTCCATGAATGCTAGACACAGGGGCTAATTATATTTTTCGGTCTTCTGTATGAACTGCCGCATTGTGTGGATGTGGTCTATGGTGCCATATCCGCTCCGAAACCCATCTTAGCTTAGAAGGGAAATGGGTCGATAGTTCTTCCAGTTCTAGTTCACAAGGAATTTGTAAAACATAATAATTTAGAAACGCCTTTTTAAAATATGTTTTAATTAGTTCGTGTTTTAAGTTCATCCTGTCAAAAATAATTTTACCAATTAAGTATAACTACAATTGCTTCTACGCGTACTACGCTCTCTAGCTTTAGTAACCATTAGTTATCAATTGTGATATCCTCAAGTAAAAATGAAAGACTTTAACCAATTATATATTAAAAAAGATACGTTATATTCATAATGCATGCACAAAATATTTATTCCGTAACCGTACATACATCTATTAATGCATTTTAAAACAAAACATACACTTACCTGTCGTATGATATTCCTTTTAAAATACTGCGAATACTTTTAAAATTAATTAGTACGAGTACGTGCGCTCACTCGCAATGGTCCTGATTACGACCCTAGCGTTTTTTGCGTTAGTGGCGTACCTACCTCTTGTTTGTATATAATATCATTGACTTTACCAAAATATAACAGAAGATCTGTTATGCCCCACTCATACTTCCGCATGTGTCCACTCTTCGTTCTTAGTCCAATCTGTCCTCCTCTGGAACGCTCTGCCTTTGGAAATCAGGATAGCACCCAGTCGCCTCTCATTTAAGACGAAAGTCCGAGCTCGAATTCTCGACACTTTAGCAGACTCATCACATCCCTAAAGTCTTATATGTTATTATGTTAGCCTTGTATGTATTACTCAGCAAGTATATTTAAGTATGTGTATCTCAGTATGTATGTAACCTAATTTTAATTTCATGCACCTACTCAGACATTTCCCCACCACCCAAAGGTAGACTGGGAGAAAATGTCTTTGGCATTAAGTCCGCCATTGTACTTTGTTTGTGCAAAAAGAATTAAAATAAAATAAAATAAATAAATAAGATTTTGCACAACAGATATCTCGAAAGAAATCATTGTCGTAATCGTAACCGATTAAAACCATCCATTCAAGCCTGCTTATCAAATTAATACCTGTATTAAATCTGTTTTACCTGTTGTATCTATATGTCCCTACCTATTTATTTCGTTTTACTATCCCACAGGGCCTCAAATTCTTGTGTGCCCGGGGGCCCCGGCATGGCCTAAGACGACCTTGTGTATATTGTATGTATTTTTATAATGTGTAAAATGTGTTTTATTTGTAAATATTGTAACTAATTATACTATTATTATGATAAGACTGTACTACAGGACATCTTTAGCAATATTTATAGGCCCGGTCTGCTCCTGCCGTCCGCTGTCACCCAGGACGGTGACAGGACGGCCTAAACCCGGTGACTTTTGATATCCTGAAAAAGACAGTTTTGGTCTACATTAAATGCACCTAACGAGTAATATGGAATAATAAGGAATAATACTGTATTGTTCAAATTATCAATTATTATTTGTGCTATGTAAAAGATAAAAATGGTTACTGTGGTTACGGTTATCCTTAGGAGATAGACACATACCATAAGGTTCGATTGTATGGAATGTGGAGGACAGCGCCATTCAGTATCCACCAAGTACATCTATTAAGATTGTGATTAATACGAGTAGTTCTGATCCTTACAGCGCTAATTGTGTTTGTGAGAAAAATTGTTTGAAAGTGTATTCCTGTGTGATTACATTAGGATTAAAATAGATGCATTTATGATGTCAGCATATTTTACATCAAATCTCGATTTTACATCATAGGAGTAAAAGCTGCAAGGTAATTATTATGTTACATGGTATATTTTAGTCCATAACATAGATTTTTATTAATTAATATTTACAATAAAAAATAACCAAAACCTACATAACCATTTGCCATTTAAAATTGTTCCTAAAATCCTAATTTACGTGTATATTATTATAATTTAGAGCACAACTCCTTTCTTTAACCGTAGATTACATTTTTCTCCTTTCTGTGTTATTATGTTTTATTCATTATTTTTTTTTTAATAATTATATAATAAATTATCAATCATCAAAATTTCGTAAAACCGCGATAGGAATAAGCAAGCTCTTTAGATTTTTTTAAATAACTTTTGTAAACTAGATGAGGTTAGTTTTAAATCGAATCTTCTACTGCTTAATAGCTAATTCACACTAAGCTGTACACAAATATAGCATACTTACGTTAAAAGGAGCTTCACTATAAAATACAACCGATAATGGAGATACATTATCGCTTCTCATCATCTTACACCGTTTTTTTCGTACTTTCGCAGCGCGTGGAATACGAAAAAACACTTTATCGGTGTACTAATAAAAGCGTTTTTGCACTTCGGTACCATATAATACTTGTAAGAAGGGGTTTTAACTACTTTCATGATTTGTACAGCAATTTAAACTGAAAATAAGTATGAAGTAGCGCTATAGTAAACAAACACGGGACACAACCAATGACGTCATCAAAAGCGCGTGCTAAATGGTGGCGGTTGAACGACTCAAATGTATTAAAAGTTTGACTATTTTCAAGACTATTTATATTTTTTTCTATGTTATAAAGATGTAAATGATTAATAAAAAAACCATGCATATTGTCCTTTATTATGAAATGACTGTTTTTATTGATTTGACATCTTCAAATCAACATTAAATGATTTGACAGTGGGTATATAGGTAAGACGTCACATCAAAGTATTTCATACAAAGATGTACCGCGTCTATCGTTTTGACGTTTAATAAAAGATCCTCATTTGACTTGACAGTCATCTACCCTATTGCTAAAGGACCATTTTGTCATTTCAGCCAAGCTGTTCTAGTCGATAAGACTCTCTATGTATCGGGGGTGCTGGGGATGACTGCTGATGCCCAATTAGTCACCGGTGGCATCAAAGCTCAAACGAAACAGGCTCTAGACAACTTACAACATATTTTAGTAGCTGGGGGTGCATCTTTGCAGTCTGTGGTGAAAACGACAATTTTGCTTGCAAGACTGGAGGACTTCGCAGTTTTTAATAAGGTTTATGCAGAATGTTAGTAAAACAATTTTTTTTACCCACAGTAAAATAAACAAATAACATTAGATAAACAGTTAGATAGCATTTATTTAGCATAGCGCAATTTTGGATTTTCAATGGTCAGATAGCTGTTATCTGAAGAATAAAGCTTAAATCTGAGGAATAACTTTATCTAACGATTCATGCCTCAGTTAGTGATATTATCTGTAGTAGCTTTGATCTTTGTGTATTTGTTTACTTTCTTTTATTTGTTGCATTAAAGTTTATGTAAATTTCCCTTATTATGTATTCGGCTTGATCGACGATTTCACTAAACAAGTAGATCATCTGATACTAAACTTTTTGTGTCCTGAGAGGAAAGAAAGGGTAGTTAGAGAAAGATATTACAATACTTTGCGTGATAATGAACAATTTCATTAGTAGGCATGCCTTTTAAGTTCTGTCGTTTCCATATATCCCAGCAATTTTAAATTTGGAACTGTTCTGTATTCGAATGTGTTTAAATTTTGAATCTCAAAACAGTTGAAAAGTATGTATTAGGATTAATGCTATCGTTTAGTCACAGCGTCGATTGGAATCTGTCAGGTTACGTACAAAAATGAATCTTTCTAAGGAAAATGTTCGTGCAATAATTTTCTTCTTTTTAACTTTAGAAGAGGCCTGACACGGCTTCAGTGTTTTGAAGAGCTAACATCTATGTTCAGTGATGAAGCCCGATGTCTATTGACTGTCGAACGCTGGTATTTAGAATTCCAGCGCGGACATACTAGTGTTAGTAACAAATCTTGCGAAGGACGCCCAAAATCCGCCTTCACTGAAGATAGCATCATTGCTGTGAGACAACTAATTCTCGAAGATCGTCATGTGACGTATCGAGAGATAGAGGCTCTATTAGGCATCTCAGGGACAACCATTCAGAAGATGAAGCGCTTGGTGTGAGAAAGCTAGTTTGCCGTTGGATACCGCATCTGCTTTCCGACGATCACAAGGCGGCCCGCGTCAGATGGTGTAAGAAAACTCTGCAAAGGTTCAACCGAGGAGAGTCAAATCACGTCTACGACATCATCAGTGGTGACGAATCTTTCATCTATGCCTACGATCCTGATTCCAAACAACAATCTACAATCTGGGTCTTTCAAGTCGAGCCAAAGCCGACTAAAGTTGTTCGTACTCGAAGCACTTCAAAGAAGATGGTGGCCACGTTCGTTGGAAAACCGACCATGTTGCGACTATTGCACTTGAAGATCGTAGAACGGTTAACGCAGAGTGGTATACCACAGTTTGTATACCACAAGTCATCGCCGAACTTTGAAAATCTAACTCAAAGCGACGCATCATCCTGCACCACGACAACGCAGCTCACGCAGCGCTCGTCAAAAGATTGAGTATTTGAAGCAGGAAAAAGTAGAAATTCTTGGCCATCCTCCATACAGTCCTGACCTAAGCCCTAACGATTTCTCTACATTTCCTAAAATTAAGAAAATTCTTCGTGGTCAAAGGTTCCAGTCCGGTGAAGAAGCAGTCGACGCTTTCAAGTCAGCCATTTTGAACACCCCCACAATAGAGTGGAATAAATGTTATAATAACTGGTTTGGGCGAATGGAAAAATGTATTAAGCTACGTGGTGAATACTTTGAAAAACAAAATAGTCATGCCTCGTACAAGCTACTAGCAAATGCAATTTCTCGAAATTTAATGCTCTAATTGCTCTAATAATCTTCTTAATTGATTCCATTTTATATAAAAGTAGCACGAAGAATAATAATAATAATATTCTTAACCATATTCACAGAACACCATCTAGTCCCAAACTAAGCCGAGCTTGTAATATGGGTACTAGACAACTGATATAAATAAATGTATATATACTATTTTTTTTGTAAGTACATACATATTATACATAGGAACACTAAGATAAAATCAAAAATTAAATATAAATGTACACAATTCGCTTGATAAACATAAAGATAAATTTATTCTCAAGTTAGTTGTATGAGGTTTGAAATACCGGCCCTTAACGAACAGATTTAATAACTAATTAGCTCTTTCCTGTTTACTCGCGTAAAAATATTTATTCCAACCTTCGGGAACTATCTTCAATTTTTCTGAATAGGTACAGTGTATCCTATTTCTTTCTCCCTATATCCCTGGAAACGTATATAGTGCAAAATATGTGCATATTCTATGCGTAATGTTATGACTCCATAAAATAAACATATGTACATAAATATTAATGAATACTTAATGAGTTTATAATATAAATGTTTCAGATTTTCCGAAAAACCCACCAGCTCGTGCTACCTATGAAGTTTCTAGATTACCCAAAGATGCAGCGGTGGAAATAGAAGCCATTGCCATCAGCGGCAATCTCGTCGAGAGTGCAGCATAACTCAGCGCTTATTATTACAATCGTCTGTTGTCCCACACGAAATACATACATATTTTCTACGTTAGTTTAAAGTGACAAAAAAACAATTTTGTCTTGACTGGTGAAAGAAATTACCTAACTAATCTTTTTTTTTTTGTATGGATTTCTCCTGTTTCCAAAACTAATGCCATTGTATCTATCTGTTTATTAAAAAAGAGAAGCCGTGAGATTTTTTGCCCTTTCTATTCATAAGGCTCAACCCCTTGAAAACGGGTGGTTGTAGATCGGCACAGGCATATATGTAATAGATTTTCGATAGGTATAATTTCCATAGATTTATTTTGCAAAATATTTGACAAAACAGAGATTGTTACTATTGTGTGTATTGGTCTATGACTTTAGAGTCTATTTACGAAGGTCACTATATAAATTTTAAGACACGCAAAGAGTAAACAATATATACTTACTTATATTAATTATACTAGCTGACCCGGCGAACTTCGTGCCGCCATAATATCGGCACAATAAGTTTTATTATAATAATACTCGTAAAAACTCTTAACACTGGCACAAAACAAACACATCGACCGGTCAACTTCGATTTTAACGGTTTGCGGTATTTAAAACAAAGCATAGACAACATTAGCGTGAAAACGTGAGCTGTCAGTTGCTTTTGTTATACCATTTATTTCAAATGAACAGCTGGACTGATGTTTTTTTAATGTTTTTTTTTATTAACATCATATTTTTATATATATAATCCTATTCCGGACGAAGAGGAATCCAAAAACACAAAAATCATAAAAATTGGTCCAGCCGTTCTTCAGTTATAAATAGTGGAACTAACACAACTTTCTTTTATATAATATACTAGCTGACCCGGCGAACTCTGTTCCGCCTTAAAGGCAATAAATAAGCCGATTTTCGAATTTAGTAAGTTAATTTATTTCTTAGAAAAAAAATGAAGTACATTAATCATTTATTATTGTTTCTGCATTTCAGTACATAGGTTGCTCTTCACTTAAGTACCTTGTGATACACGACATTTTTTGTTTTCTTATCAGGCGCAAAAACAAACAACGCAGATGGTCTTCCGATCAATACTCAACGTTGCAATGTGTCTTAAACATTTTAGAAATAAGTGGTGAATATGGAACAATCCAACTGTTGTCGACAACGAAATCCTTTCTTTTCACTTCTGTTGTGACAGTTCCACCGTTGTCATCTGGTGATCGACGCCGATACAAAAAAAAAAACGGAATAAATAGTATCCTATGTCCGTCTCCTGGCTCTAAGCTACCTCCTCACCAATTTTCAGCCATATCGGTAAAGCCGTTCTTGAGTTATAAATAGTGTAACTAACACGACTTTCTTCTATATATATAGATATAGATTATACAATTATGTTAGATATTTTTTCAAAATACTCTATCACTCTCTATACAAATTTCCATCCGCCTAAACCAGTCTTGCAAACCCTCCGACAGGTCAAAAATGGCTGATTCGTAGGCAACCACTGCAAACTTCAAACTAAGCAAGCTTTTGCTTAGTTTGAGGCCAAATGGTGAATATGAAAACTAGATTGACTGAATGAATACTTCTATGCTTTTATTTTGTAAATCCATAAATATTATATAAAGAAAACACACAAACTCCGAAACAAACATTTTGTCCGAGCCGTTAGTCGAACCTGAGACATCTGCACAGCAGTCGCATAGGCTACCGCTGCACCAACGCAGTCAACGCCACTTCATGAACTATTTAGAAATAATTCAATGATTTATTTTGCTAAAACAATGGTAGTTACCGATGTTAGGTGACTTTTTAATTTTATTTAGATCGTCCTTAACAATTTCCACAAACTTTTATCACACAAATCGTGGTAATAAACAACACAAAATACGAAAGCAACGTGATATATGTAACCAGTGACAGTACTTTTTATACGAAACGCCCGAAAAGCATTTAGAGACCAATAGTTGGACGCTATTTGTTCCTCTGTTTTCTCAACTTTGTCCATCTGTTCAGATGACAGTATAATACTTCTAATCTTTTTATCTTTTTTTATTGCTGTAAATGTAAATAAAAATTACAATCGGATATGACTTTCAATATGCAAATTTTGATATCTAAAGATCACCAATCCAAGGTCAAACTCACAAAACCATAGGAAATTTTTTACGCTCTTCAGCGAAGTAAAGCTACAAGATTCAGAGTTTTTTCCTGGCTATTCATTGGAGATCTTAGATTATGAATGGGTAAACTATGATTATGAATTTCAAGGTAACAGTCATATTTGATTAATAACCTGGACCTGGATTTTATTAGAAAATTGAATAGGAAAAATTATCATAGTCTTGACACCAACTACGAGGGATGGCTGATAACTCCGGGGCCTAAGGTACTTAATGAAAGAAAATATCTGGTTCATATTTTTATTTTTCAATAAAATCTGCATGTGTAATACATTTCTCACATCTTGCATACAAAGCCTTTAACCCACCCAAAAAATATTCACAGCTTTCATTTCGTTGTCATAGATCTGCAAATTTCCGGCCCCGTAGGTCCTTTTTCAAATTGGAAAACAGGAATAAATCGCTTGGTGCTAGGTTCGGGTTAAGATTGACCACCCTCCATATAGCCCAAGGAGGGTGGTTAATCTCTAAGAACCCCGTGACTTTCTGGGCTTGCCTCGCAACATATACGGTGCGATAGGGCGCGTTGTCTTGCAGAAAGAGCACTCCGCGTGCAGTTTCCCACGTCGTTTCTGTACAGTAGCCTCGCGAACCTTAGTCAAGTCAACCTTTGAGAGTGTTAAATACCTTGGGGTGATTTTTGACCAACATCTTACATTTAAACCACATATTGAGACCCTTGTATCTAGATTACGAAAACTTATATATATATTCAAAGCATTAAGGCACTCGGCAGACCGTGAGACACTCAAAATGGTCTATTATACATTGTGTCAATCTCTTATTGATTATTGCATAACCTCATGGGGAGGTGCGGCCATGACACACCTTATTGAGATTGAAAGAACGCAACGTGCTATTTTGAAGGTTGCTGCCAGCCTCCCCTTACGTTACCCTACTGCAGACCTATATCGCGAATGGGACATACTTACTGTAAGACAAACATTTGTTTTGCAAACTGTGCTTAAAAAACACTCCGAGCTTCAGTTTGACGTTAACCTTCTCAAAGATAAGCGACGAAAAGGTAAGGTATGTCCTCGTTTAAATTTCAAATCTTCACTCTCTCAAAGATTCTTCTGTTTTCTTGGGTCATATATTTACAATAAAATGAACAGTATCCTTAACATATACCCCAAAAGTAAATTTGACTGTCTGCAAATGCTAAAATGTTATCTGAAAACCCTGGATTATGATACAACTGAAAATTTTATGACCATCCTCAAATAAAGTCATCCTCCTATCAGTAATATCAAACTCTCAACACAATCTCATGACACTTTCTACATTAGTCACTATCACTTACGCACAATCTCGTGCTCATTCACTCACATATACACACACCCATACATACACACACGAACACACACACACAAACACACACACACATTTCTATTTTCATTTTAATAATTTTTTGCAAGTAAATAATGTTTGTCCTCTTTGTTTTCTCTTTGGTATTGTAATCGTTTTAGTTTCTTTAATTGTTAACTTTCTCACACGGTGTATTGACTGTCTCCTATATCCACGCGGAGGGCCTGGTGACCTGTAACACAGGTTTTTTTTTAACCTACATCAGGCACCAGTCTTTCACAAATGTGGATTTAAGAAGCTAGCCTAGTACTATGTTATTTTGTTAAGGTATCCATTTGTGAAAAGAGAATAAAATATTATTATTATTCTCTTTATTAAATTATTATTATTATTAATAAATTGGCATAATATTGGCATAATATTGGCTCGCTATCCCAGAAAGCAGTCGCCATTATCTTGGACGCCGACTTTCCCACCATGAATTTCTTCGGCGGCCCTTCGCCTTTTTTTTATCCATTACATGGACTCTTGTTTGGACTTCGGATGATATTGACTAATCCATACTTTATCTACGGTGACTATCCGCAGCTAAATGTCTTCCTTGTTATCGCCGACTAGCTACAAAAATCTTTGCAACTTGAGAGTCGACGTTGCTTGTGTCCTATAATTTTGTATGGGACTAAGCGGGCGGTGTGCTAAACCAAATAAAAAACCTCCCCCATTTTCAGATCAGTTAAAAACAACGAACATTTACATTTTTTTGTCTACTGCGAAATTCGAACCATGCAACTTTTCACAATTTATAGTGATATAGAAGCATTGAAGTCAGTGAGCTTATTCAATAACTGCTTCTCCCAAAAGGGATAAATTTACCCCGTATTCGCAAAAAAAATCAAAGATACTCGGCTCTTTTTGATAGTAGCATGATAAAGCCTTTTTCGATAAAAGAACCATCTAAACACTAAAATATTTTTTCAATTCGAACCACAATCCTGAGATTACCCGGGAAATCACACTTAATAACTTTACTTCTTTAAAATTTTAGTATGGATTTAAAATACCCTTTACGATAAAACGTTACCACTGTAAATGAAAAAGGAGGTAGCATACAAGATAATTCAACATCAGCTGTTAAATTAGCTTTACTAGCTTTAATTAGTTATTTTAATTAATTACTTTCATTGTGAAATCATAAATAAAATGTGTTCGGCTAGCCGTGGCCAATGTACTTTTTTAGAGAATGGATTGAGCGGTGTAAGCATTTTTGGGACGAGCGTGCTCTAATTTTTCTCATATTCAAATATTCATGCAAAATTTCTCCAACTCGTTCTTTGCTAATCTGCAATTCTTCAGCAATCTGCCACAATTTAATTCTTCGCTCGGCCAGAACGTCTCTTTGGACCTTTTCTTCGGTCAGTACCGTGACAGGGCTCCCCGGGCAAGGGTCGTCTACACAGCTCTCTCGTCCTTATTGAAATAGGCAGGCCCATTTATTGACTATCGTATATGAAGGCGCAG